ATATATATATTATTTTTATTATCAATATATTATATATATAAATTCCAAAAAAATGTAATTTTCAAGGTTGTCATGAACTCTTGTCAACTGTGACACAAACGAAAGTATATGTTTCCATGAGCATCTGAAAGAGAAGCACACAGAACCGCTGCCTTATAAACACAGAAGACGCACACACATGCAGGTACAAATGGCTAATCAAAGTTAAACATCACAGAAATGAGATGGGTGTTTTAAAAGTGGATAGATGACCTCACTCTGAAGTTAGAGGAGCATCATTAAAATGGCTGACAAAGTTCGTGGAACATTTCCATCTGTGCTCCCCCACGGTTTCTCCTGCACACATGCTTCCACCATCAGTGGACATTTATCACTTGGGTCCCCCCGCCAAGCACACTCTATCTGCCTCCCCCAAAATGAGATTTAAGAGAGCATTGAATGGGATCTTTCACAAGACTCTCTCTCCGTGTTGTGTTTTTCACGGCTGCAAAGGCTTCACAGAGCTCCTCTGTTCCCTCAGCACGGTGACACAAAGGCTATATTTGAAGCACGCACTGCAAAACGCCGTCAATGGAAACACACGCACACAACAGGCGGTCCTGTTGTGTGCGTGCATGTGTTTGTGTGCGCAACGAGCGACCAGACAGAGAAACCAGGCATTGACCCCTCGTGTCAGAGCCTCGGGGGCCAGACAAGGCTGCCCAGCTGTGCCCGACTGACGCCCCCATTCTCCGTCTTTACATTCTGCACTGTATGCACCGGCAGTGAAATTTAACCCGTTAAAACGAGGTCCCTCTGCTATAAACTTGCGCTTGACATGTCCTCAGGGATGAACTCATGGACAAACAAAAGCTAACTCATTAGAGCTCCTCCATGTTTTTCTCAGTTGCTTCACGCTCCACTATGGCAAAAATTAATGTAATAAAAAAAAAACGTCAAAGTCTGACGTTTGTTTAAAATGCCTTTCAATCTGCTGCTTCTGTACACAGTGCTACTTTATTTCCATTTTCTCCTACTTGTTTCACCATTTTATAGCTGAAAGCAGGCAGGATGTGTCACAGCTAAGGCACTGAGCAAACATTCCCAGATGAACTCCACGACCACTAACTTCAACACATCATGGACAAAACCTCCTCTTGGGTTTGGATTAGTGTTAGTCATGCATTTTATGGCCCCAAGTGGGTGAGTGGGTGACATGAATGTGTGTGTGTGTGTTGGTAGACATCTGTTGTGTGAGGTGAGGAGGCCATTCTTACCAGCACTGGTGCCTGCGCCAGTGGTGAGGTCAGCACCCATGAGGCCACCTGTAAGATGAAATAACGAGTAAAGCAGAGGAGAGAAACCCATTAGAGGATTGACACCCACATACAGTAACAACCATTCTAACTCCCATCTCACTTTAATCACAATGTCAGTACAGTGCAGCGGACGGATTCAAGAACTAACATTTTGCAACGCATCTGGACAAACAGTGGGTACATGAAGGCACTGTCCAAGCAAAATGGCGCTTTATTATTTTTGAAACATGTGTGGTGGAGAAGTGGGAGGGTCAGGACAGTGTGCGGTTCGCTGTGGGTGCTGCAACGCCAAAACTCATATTTAGTTTGCGCTGGCTTTTCTAGCATCCCGTTGTAATGACAGGGTGAGGGTGTGGGCAACGAGCTTCAGACCGGAGGGACAGATAATTAAAATAATGGGGAAAAAAACAACTTTGGAGAATAATAATAAACCAACAGGCTCAGTTTGCTTATATCACTGACAATTCAGTGTCAAATGTGCCAGTTGTAGAGTCTCACACTAAAAAAGTATAACCGTGGGCTGTGATTTAACATTGTTTTATATCATTTCACTGTAACATTTGACAAAATACCAAGCAGGGAATATGTGATTGTATGTGGGAGGAAAATACTTTAGATTCATTTGCCGCATTTAGGTGGAATATTGTGGGTAGATGTCATAAATTAAATTACACATTTGATGTGTCTGTGTTTATTAGCATGACAGACAGGTTCACACACACACACTTGGGAGGATGAACAGATGGGATAACCGCATGTGCATGGATGCATGAATGCATGTGAGGCCCTACCTGTGTTACCTGCACTGGGGGGTCTGTGTGTCACTCCAGGAGACATGCTATTCCTCTGTAGACCATGGTGCGCTAACGGCAACAGATTGTGGTTGCCAAGGGACCCGCCGGGATGACTGTAGATTAGATTATTCTGGTTGCTAGCAGGAATGGACACGGGCATGTCATAGTTTGATGGGGGCACAGCCTGCTGAGAAAGAAATGGGAAATAAAAAATATACACAAATGTGATTAAACTAAAGATAACAACCATTCAGGTGAGTGAACAAAAAACGGAATGAGAGGGTGCGCAGAAAAGAGTAAAAGGATGACTCAGAAACACTCAGGAACGCAAAAATAATACACGGATGGTGTCATTAAAGACATCTAATTTCCAAGGGGTGCAAAATGGACATGTAGAAGTGACATGTACAAAATATGTCAAATAATAAATCCAGAAAAGTACAGAACAAGAGGTGAAGGGGAATCAAGGAAGCTCTCCACAAACGGAACAAAACAACCACAACAAAAAAAAAATCTTGCCATTTATTCTAATAGCCCCCCCACCCCCATCCCCTGAGATGATAAATTACCTGGCAACACTTTATCGTTCTGATTTGATGTGCCTAGGTAGGTCACTTTGGAGGCTACTACTGTCACAGATTGTTCCAAAGTGCATAGTTGTTGATTCTGTCTTTTGGTTTGTGATGTAGAAAGCTTTTTGAATTAAAAATATTGTTCAATTACATTGCTAGTTTTTAAATTATTTTTATGTCCCATAGAGCTTAATGCCAAAGGTCTTACATGGTAAATGAAGATCAGTCAGCAGTCTTTAGAAACATCAGTAGAAGTGGCCTGACAGGCTCATGCATCCAGTTTGTCACATTTATTGTGTCATTTGGCAGGAAGACTTAACCTTGGGAGTGCCCTGGAAGTGGTTGATCCTGCGTGTTAGCTTAAAGAAGTAGAAAATATTACTCTAAATTATTACCATGTGTTTTAGAGCTGTGGAAGGACTGTATCAGGGAGATCTTCAACCCGCTTTAGGTGGAAATGGGCTTGGTGCCGTAGCGCTGCTTCCAGTTCTATGGTTCCCCCCCCCCCCCATTCACTGATGCTCTTTTATTAGGTCAAATATTATTTTAATGTACAAAGATTGTTACTCCAACCACATTTCATTGTGGGCCTCTGTGTGTTTCACTGTAACTGCAAATTCATACAAGTGTACAAGAGCGTACGAACCCAAACGTGCTTTATTTTATAACCAGTGAGTGCTTGTCCATCACTCTCTTTTATTTCTCCTCGTCCATTGTGTAATTTCTTTCATTTCAGACTCTATGTTACAGTTTTGAATCTTGTGATTGTCTATGTGACGTTCTCTTTAGAGTGGAAGCTGCTTGCACGGACATGCTTGTGTGCGCGCACAGCCCATTGCTGGATGTAAGGGCCCCGTTTGTAAGCTGTCTTTCAACTGGTGCCATCCTTCCTGTTTTCATTCATCTTCCTCCCCTGCCTTTCCCCACAGTCCCCCCAACAGTCCCCTGCAATCCAGCCCAGTGCTTGGCAGCCACCCTGACCACACGCTGAACTGCCACTTGTTGTGTGCAGAGTCCACCCGCCACCCCGCTTCCCCCCTTCAGCTCCAATCCCAAAGCCACCCCACCTCAACTCACCAGCCCCTGCCTTATTTTCTAACCACATCGCCTTCTGCTCCACGTGGGTTATACACTACTGTTCTCTTCTTTCTTATATACTGTGGAATTATGTCTTCTTCTGTAACGCCAGAGTACTAACCATTCCAATATGGGACTTTCAGAATGAGAACCAGGCTCAGTTTTAACTGAAATAGGCCTCAGTTTTGAGATTTCTGTCACCTTATTTGGCAGAACTGACAACATAAGTCCTACAGCAGACATGTCTTGATATATGTGTCCACTATGAGACACAAGCTACTGAAGGCCTTGCAATAAATTTAGTGAGGAGAGATTTCAGAATTTCTGCCGCTGTTTCATTGCCACATCATATGTCCTCGATGTTGCAGGTGACTGAACAAGGTGTTTTGATAAAGATAAAGGACAAACACATACAGACCACACCCCTCCTGAGAGCAAGGAAAGGTATTATGGGTAGCATGGGTTCAAGGTGGGAACTGTGTAAGGTTAAAATTTGTCTTAAGAGAAAGTCTGTAATTATTACAGGAGAAATGCCTGCTGGTTTGGGGTTACATTTCTGTCAGATTAGAGGACTGTTCCTCAAATGTAAGCAAGCAGAATTGAAGAACTGTAATTTCTTCACTGCAAGTAAACACTGTAATCTCACTCTGAGGTTACTCTCACTCTTGCTTTGTGCAATTAGTCTAGTGGCAAACAATTGTGGTTAGCCGGGTTAGCCTGCCGAGGAGGTGGCACAGTGTTCCCTCAGTACTTACAGGTATTTTATGAGTTTTTATCATCTGATCAAACTCCTCATTAATCTGTTTGTATTTCTCCTCAGTGCGTGGGGTGAGGATGAGAGCAGATTCAAGTTCCGGACTCTCTCCACCCTTGTTCTCCTTCTTGTTCAATGCCTGCCAGGTCCCACAACCACAGAGAACAGGGTGGGGAAACACAAACGAGGGGACGGAAAGATGGGTGGTAGGAACAGATGACAAGGATGAAGTGACAGGAGGGTGGGGAAGAAAGAGAGGAAAGAAAGGTGAAACAAAGGCTCTGGGTCCAATGAAAAGTACTTACACACAGTCTCTGTCTGCTGATCATCAGATCAATGTCCTCGTTTATTTTCCTGTACTTCTCCTCAGACTCGGGGCTGTGGCCAACCGAGTCGTCTGCGTCTGGGTCTGGGCTGTCACAGCCATTTAGGCCCTTCTTTCTCAACGTCTGAAAACAGAGCAGTTTCAAAACATAGATGAGGGGGATTGAGGAAGGAAAAAAAGAAACCCAGGTGAAAAGCTTGGAAGGGAAAAATAATTCTGGAGTGTGAGGATGTTTTATAGAATCATTCTGATGAGCGACTAGAATTTCTGCAAACTTGTTCATATAAAACACAATAAAAGCCCATTTTCTCTTCTGGATGATTGAATATCTTAAGTTTAGTTTAAGATCTCTAACACTGGTTGGGAATCAGTTTTGAATGTTTTCTCATTACCCAGTAACATGAGGTGGCACAATGCAAATCTTGCTGTTTAGCCCACAGGGAAACATGCAACTTAACATTTAGTGTGACAAATATGATTGAATAACATCCAAACAGAGAAAACAAATGATCACTGAATCAGAAAAAAAAGACAACTTGTATGAGTAGTAATAATAATAATAATAATAATAACAATAATAATAATAAAAGTTACCATTTGAAAAAATGTGCATGGCTGTGGTACATGTGCACTTAACTAAGGCAGTTTCTGTTTTGGCCACCTGATGGCCACCTGCCCCCATTGGAGTGGGCAGAAAAAAAAACTAGCAGAAACCCACTCTCTCCACTCCCTCACCACTCCCTCTAACTGGAGGAGAGACGCTCACAAAGAACACTTTAACAGGAAAAAGGACTATCCGCATCTGTCCCATTTTTAAACAAAATTGTTGACAATCCTAACAACAAGGATAACTTTCAGAGAGCATTGCTGTGTGTGGTAGCACGAGCGCTTTGCCTTACATGTGCACACAACGATGGGCGCTGGGTTCATTTGCCTCGGAAAGTGAGAGACAAAGACAGAGTGGGAGAGGAGAAAAGTACAGTAGCTGACAGTTACAGATCTCATCAAAGACACCCCCTCCTCCCACCCACCCCCACTCCCACCCCTCTTCCTTCTCCTCCTGGCTTTAATAAAGGGAGATTAGTCTACAGGAGGAATATCACGGGCCTGCTCCTGTCTGTGCAGTCGTCGCTTCACACTGCGCTCTCCTACTTTCATCTGAAGCTCCATATCAGACAGACGTAATTAAATTTACTTTAGCACACCCTGTATTTGATGCTGATCAAGTGTGTGCGTCTATATGTGGGAGAGGAACGAGGGGAATGAGTCCGCGTTTGCGTGTGCACGTGTGGGCACACAAGTGTGGGTGTTAGAGTCAAGAAAAAAGAACGAGCGACCGTACAGGAGAAGTGAGGGAGGTAGATGCTAAGATAAGTTAATCTCAGTGAACTTCTCTCTTTCATTTGTTTGTCTCCGTCAGCTCTCACTCACGGAGGAGATACAAGTGCAAGCTGCTCCATCACAAGCAGCTGCAGAAATGACAGGAGCGATCTGCCTGCTTAGAAAACAAATAACAATCCAGTTATCTCCAATGTCAGCACAACAAAGGCCTGTTTTGAGTGTGGTTTTAGTCAACTTAGAGGGCCTGTTTTGTGTGTGTATGTGTGATAACTGTTTGATTCCTGAGGCGTCTCATGGCGAGGCAGCTACTGTAAGTGTGTCAACATTTGCCGGCTCTCCATTTCCTTCTCTGAATCCTCACTTGGCCCCAAGAGTGGAAATCTGGAATTCTGAATTTGAAAGTGCCTCTCATATCTTTTGACAGTTTTCAGGAAATCACACTGAAGAAATCAACCACGACGAAGCAGGAGATCTGGCTCCTAACAGACCTAATGTGAATCAGGCACTCTTGCTCTATCAGAGGAGAATGAGTGAAGAGAACAAAGGGGTTTCACAGGTTTAAAACGCTGTCTTTTTTGGCAAAGGCGTGAGATGTAAAAGTTTGCTATTTCTCTTGAGCAGCTTCATCCTGGCCCTGGCAATACATCATATCAAACTGACAAGAGATGAACTGCAAGCCCTTCTCAATTCACATGAGAATGCACACAAGTGAAAACAAGTTTTCTTCCTACTAACTCAGATTTCCACCTACTGCCACCAGCTCAGAGTGTGGGAGGGATTCACTTCCATTCTGGGAAGAAAAGCGGCGTAGCAAATGCTGGCAGATGAGGGACAAGGGCTAAGCTAAAGGTGACACCCATATGGGGCAACTGAGTTGTTTGTCTGGCAGTGGGTTGGGCAATAGTTTCACAGGGCATTTGATGGGTTAGCAGGCAGCCATGGTATGGGTGTTATATGACTATGAGGCATGTGGCCCAGGCTTAGCTCTCCAGCAGGGCTCAACATATTTAGGGTAGGGTTCAAGGATGATATACAACTTATCCAAGTTATGTCCACCTGTTCAGTGACATCGCGCCTGTTGCCATGCACTGTCATAAAACCCCAACGACCAATGTGATCTGTTGGCTTGCCTAAATAGCCATAAATGGACCTCTCAGTCTTGCGCTCTCTACCTCACTACCTTCCCGTCCTTGCTTTGCCATACTCTACTTTTTACCCTTCTCATAACTCATAGGTTCAAGATGAATACATGGATAGAATGAAAAGCAAACAAATGCACTTTGGTAAGGTTTACTTGTGCCTAAAATTTATCCACATACATTTGTTTGATAGAAATTCTGTATATCACCTATTTTTAGGTGTCAAAATTGCATTTTTACCACTGGTTCATTTAAAATGTATGTTGACACAACGTACTACATTTTAAAAATGACCAAGTTTAGATGCATCGCGAAATAGAAAAAAATGTGCATATGTGAAAAACATAAAAATATAAAAGAATCCTACATGCCTTAAAGCATTTTTACATAAACCATGTTTTAATGCCAGAGGAAGATGTTTGACAAATGTCTAAGTGAGAAATTGATTTTTAAAAAGTATGATTCGGATGAAAGAAGGCAAAAAAAGCTCTGTCTTCTTGCTTGGCTTGGTGTCTTTCACTGTGGCCCCTTTGGAGGCTTGCTCCTAATTAAACTCCTACTTCATGATGTTCCCTCATGACTCCACTCACAGGGCCTGTGTGAAGCAAGCACAGCATAGACAAGGTGTCCTACATACTTGAGACACTTGTCTCAATGGTACCCTTCTGCTTTGCACCTTCAGCCAAGCTGGCCTAGACCATTTGAGTCTAAGAGGAAATACCAAACTGCATTGAGAAAACTGTGAGATATAGATTGACGCAGTCAGAAAGGCTGTTTATGTTGTCATATGCTTGGGATTTTAGTAATTTTCACATTATATATTTATTTAATAGTTTGGGTTATGGGTGACAACCTAAAGCAGCTCTTGAGAAAAACAGAGGAGGGTATTTGGGTGTGAATTCTTGGTGGCGTATGGGGGCCTGCTATGGACAGATGACGCCTGCCGAGAACTCCTGCCATACCAGGATCTGTCTGCTCGGCAGTCTGCCATCCTGCTCACCCTCTCTATCCTTCTATCTGTCTTCCTGCTCCCATCTTTCTGTCTCAGTCTGCTCCTCAGTCTGTCTTGGTCTCAGCTCACCACATTTTCTACACTACCACAATATCTCTACAAAATCTGAGTCAAAACCCTGTTGGCTTGATGGGTACATCTTTATTTCCGATAGACTCCAGCCAGTTGATGCGTTGTGTTTGGAAAGAGCTTCAGAGCTGACCATTCCCCTCTGCAGTCATCTTGGCAGTGTCTGAAGGGTATGACACATTCAATATTGTGTTTATGGCTATTGGTGACAGCCAGGCCAGTGAATGTTTCTCACTGTCCTCAACCCATTGACTGACAGCGTCAGTGAAAATCATTCTAGAAAAACAGCCCATTTATAGTATATCTTTTTTTTGTGGCTACAAAATGTAATCTTTCATTTATAAACTAATATAAAGGGAAAAAAATCACTGTACCTGTCTATGAATTATGTTTCACAAAATGGCACACTATAATGCAGAATAGCTGTCAATTATGTTTAAAAATGAATATTGAGCTGTCAATCTAGGATTTACGGTTTCATTGAAGCCTAGTTTAAGAGGGCAACAAGCATTTTACTACTGGAATCAACTTATTTGTTAAGGAAGGTTTTGTTTTCTTACAAGTGGTAGAAAAACAAACATACTTGGTTAGAAATAATCTACAAAGACATTGAAGAATTTAAATTGTCCTTCACATTGTTTATGGCTTTATATACTGTATGCTTAATTTATCACTGTTTTTTCAGACTCTTTCATAAATGTATAAGATGAAAATGCAATGAATAAAAACAGGTTTATTTTCATTCTTTACTCCAATGCTGTAGAGTTGGCAGAATTTCATGTAATTTCTATTGTACAAAGCCCCAAATGATATATAGAGTCAATTTATGTTGAGTTATATTACAAACCCGAGATTTACATCATGATTATATTGAGTGGAAAATGTGAAAAAAGTTAGGAAAACCACAAGGAGCATGCTTTATTTAACCATATGACAAACTTTATTTTGTCAGAGCGTGTTGGTAAGGGGCAATGTGGTATAATGTTTGAAGGGGTGAGGCAAGGAAGAGAAACATTGTCCATTCCCATTACAAATAAGTTGGAAGTAATCACAAAGTGGAAAAGTTGTGGATTAAAATCTTCCAACACCAGTGCACAACACCGATGTGCTCTAAGCACAATTAGGGTGGCCTTACCAGGAATTTGAAAGAGGTAATAATGTGTTTGAGATGTCCTCTTGTTCTCTTTATTTCAGTTTCTTTTTGGGCTTGCTTGGATTTTTCGTACTTGATCTCATTTTTGTTTCTCTCTCTCGCACACTCTCTGTCTTTCTGGCTTGGTCTTTCTTTTTTTGTGTTTTTCAAAGTGGAGGGAACATCAGAGGAATCAGGCTGGCTTAGTTTATTGGAAGCAGATGGCAGACCAAAGGCAAGAGGGCCACAGTTTCATGAAGCGTGGTTTGAACATGCCAGGACCATGTCGAGGGGCATGCCCATGGATGATGGCTGCATGGTGTGTGTATGTGTGTGACTGATTTGAGGGGAGATAACTGATTTTGTAGGTTACCAATTTGAGGACTGGGATCCCTTATCCCACTATACCACTGACTGTTATTTACACTCAT